GGACCTTTCAAAGATGATGGAGAGTGGCCTAGCAATAACATCCACCAGCTCCCTCAGCACTCATGGGTGCAGCCCATCAGGGCCCATGGACTTGTGGATGTCAAGTTTGGACAAATGATCTCTAACCCAATCCTCCTCAACCAAGGGAGAGTCTTCCTTTCTCCAGACTTTCTCCCTGGTCTCCAGGGTCCAGGATTCCTGAGGGCTGGCCTTTAGCAGTAAAGACTGAAGCAAAGAAGGCATTCAGCAACTCTGCCTTCTCTGTATCCTTCGTCACCAGGGTCCCTGCCCCATTCAGCAGCAGGCCCACATTTTCCCTAGTCTACTGATGTATTTGAAGAAGCCCTTCTTGTTGTCCTTGACATCCCTTGCCAGATTAAGCTCCAAATGGGCCTTGGCCTTCCTAGCCACATCCCTGCATACTCTGACAATGTCCCTATATTCCTCCCAAGGGGCCTGTCCCTGCTTCCACCTCCTGTACACTTCCTGCTTCTCTTTGAGTTTTGCCAGGAGCTCCTTGCTCATCCATGCAGGTCTCCTGCCCACTTTGCTGGACTCCTTGCTCAGAGGGATGCACTGCTCTTGAGCCTGGAGGAAGTGATGCTTGAATATTAACCAGCTCTCCTGGACCCCTCTTCCTTCTAGGGCCCTACCCCATGAGATTCCTCCAAGTAGGTCCCTGAAGAGGCCCAAGTCTGCTCTCCTCAAGTCCAGGGTTGTGATCCTACTTATTGCCCTGCTCCCTCCTTGTAGGATCCTGAACTCCACCATCTCATGGTCACTGCAGCCAAGGCTGCCCCCAACCTGCACATCTCCAACCAGCCCTTCCTTGTCTGTTAGCACAAAGTCCAGCAGCACACCTCTCCTCATTGGCTCCTCCATCACCTGTGACAGGAAGTGATCATCAATGTTCTCCAGGAACCTCCTGGATTGCTTGTGCCTTGCTGTGTTGTTCCTCCAGCAGATGTCAGGGTGGTTCAAGTCCCCCATGAGAACCAGGGCCTGTGACCATGAGGCTACTTCCTGCTGTCTGTTGAAGGCCTCATCTACTTCCTCCTCCTCCTCAGGGGGCCTGTAGCAAGCACCCACAACAGTGTCACCCAGGTTAGCCTGCCCTTTAATCCTTACCCATAAGCTCTATGACCTCCTCATCATCCACCCCTAGGCAGAGCTCCACGCATTCCAGTTGCTCCCTCACATAAAGGGCAACTCCACCACCTCCCCTTCCTGGCCTGGCCTTCCTAAAAAGCCCATAGCCATCCATGACAGCATTCCAGTCATGTGAGCTATCCCACCATGTCTCTGCAACTGCAACGAGATCATAGCCCTGCGACCGCACACAGATCTCTAACTCTTCCTGCTTATACCCCATGCTGTGTGCATTGGTGTACAGGCACTTCAGAGAGCCAATCGAGCATGCTGATTTCCCAGGAGAAGTGGAAGAGGATTCCCCATAGTCATGTCTTGTAGGTACTCTCTTAGCTGCATGCACTTGCTGGAGGTATCCCCATTCAAGCCCTGTTTTGCTGACTGCATGGTCTCCATAACTCTTCTCCCTTCCCCCATCTTTCCTAGTTTAAAGCCCTCCTTACCAGGTGGGCCAGCCCACTGGGAAAGACACATGTACCCCACTTAGTGAGGTGGATCCCATCTCTCCCAGTCAGTTGTTAATCTTCAAACAGGGTCCCATGGTCATAGAAACCAAAACCCTGTTGCCAACACGGTCCCATGGTCATTCATAGAAACCAAAACCCTGCTGCCAACACCAGCTGCACAGCCAGTTGTTTGCTTGCAGTATCCATCTACTCCCCCTCCCATCCTTCCCCCTCACTGGCAGGATCAAGGAGAAAATGACCTGGGCCCCCAGACCCTCGACCACCACCCCCAGAGCT